AGCAACAAAGTTAAGGTCATGTGCCCTTCTAGAGTTCCCTCTTTTTTCTCTCAGACGTAACGGTCATCCTCGGCCGTATGATGATGTCGTGATAGTAAGGCATCCACCCACAAACTATTGCGATGGTCCTCCGTTGCCGGTATTTGCGTCGGTACTGTGGCGATATCACGCCAAGCAACGTGCCCACCGATTGTCTTGGCTTTTATTTGTACAGTACGTTAAATAAATTCATAGAATATAGAATTATAGATTTCAGGAATTAATGAGTTTAACCCTTTTATTTTCCCCTTCTCTTCCCTGATTCTTTCTCGATTACATAGAACGATATTGCCTCTTTTTCCCGCCCAAGATTAATTGATGACAAGCTGCACTTTCGTCACAGTATATCTAGTAATAAAAAAGTAATTATTCTTATAAATAGTAAAAAAGACATGGATAACAGCTTGAACTGGAATCACTAACTGAAAGATGGAGTAGACAGAAAACAAAATTTACAAGACTTACTTCATAAGATATTTTTGATTTTCCAGAAATTACAGAAAATGATTTGAAAATTTCTTTCACCAGGACTTAATTAGAATAAGCGATTTTCTATCTAGCTAATTGATTGCTGAGAACGATGTGCTGAATGTTGATTATCTGAAGGAATCACAACGTACACACAAACTGCAAGTTTAATGTCGTCATATAAATGCAAAAAACAATAATTGTTACATCAAATACCAACCTGTTTCAATAGGATCTGGTAGAATCATAAGGTATTACTACGAATGTTCAAATAGGATGAAAACCATTGGTTGTTGCTCACAGGTAGCTGCTGTAATTTACTTTTTATCCCATGCACGATATTTGTCAAAAATTATAAGAAACGCTGAAAAATTAACCAAAATCTTCGAAGATAAAGAAATCATTTCCGTTATAAATGATGATAGCGATGAGGACTAATTTTTTTATTATCATTAATAAATTGCGTTTTGAACATGTACTCTAGTAAGTTATTTTCATTTTACCCTGAACAAAATTAACATTATTGAGCTTATATATCATATATTACATTTTAAAATAAATATGAAATAGCATTTTTATTGATTATATCTTATCTTAATGACGTAAGATAAACGTAGTATTTTTATTGATTATATCTTATCCTAATGGCGTAAGATTTGGTAATCGAAGCATTCAATCATAATATTTTATACAAGCATTTTCTACTATTCGTTTTGAAAATTAATAAATGAAAGATAATAATCTTCTGGTATCGTTATAACATGATTGTAATGTAACGTTTGAATATATCTCGCGTTATGAAAACAATAGTTCGGACTCTTTATATTGAATTCGCAAATACGTCTCCGAGAAAAGCAAGAAGTTGACACGCGCGTAATCTAAGTAATGAAAGAAAATCTTTCGAGTGGCAAACCACGAGGCTTACCAACTCCATGAGTTGTTTCGAAATGCAATTGAGAGCAATCGCATCTATCGGGGAGAGGCCCGACAGCGCCGCGATCACTGCTCAATTTAATCTCTCAACAGCAAATATACGAGGTGTGTTCAAAAAGTAACGAGAATTTTTAAATTTCGCGGGTTTGGAGAGTCCGCTTGTATAAAATTTTTTTTTATTATGTTGGTACACATGCCCGTGAAGTACGATAAAATTTTCAGCAATATTCATTGCTTACTTTTTAAGTGGCAGCCGCTAACGTTAGACATGTTTTTCGAGCTCGGCGATTTTCGTTTGTGAAAAAAAATGGATCAAAGAATTTGTATTAAATTTTGCGTAAAAAATGAAATAAAGTGTAGTAAAGTTTGTCAAATGTTAACAAAGGCATATAGTGAGTCTGCTATGAGTAAAGCAAGGATTTATGAGTGGTATAAGCGTTTCCAAGATGGCCACGAAAACGTTGAAGATGACGAACGACCCGGACGCCCAAGCACGTCGACAATCGATGAAAATGTGAAAAAAGTGAAAGAAATGGTTATGAACGATCGCCGAATCACAATCAGAGAAGTCGCTGATGATGTTGGCATATCAGTTGGCTCATGCCATCAAATTTTTTCGAATGTTTTGGGTATGAAACGTGTGGCAGCAAAATTCGTTCCAAAATTGTTGAATTTCGAACAAAAACAGCGGCGAATGGAAGTTGCTCAGGAGTCGCTAAATGAAGTCAATAACGATGCAGAACTACTAAAACGTGTTATAACAGGTGATGAAACATGGGTTTACGGATATGATGTCGAAACTAAGGCTCAATCGTCCCAGTGGAGGCATTCTGGATCGCCAAGACCGAAAAAGGCTCGATAAATGCGGTCGAATGTGAAGGTTATGCTCACTGTGTTCTTCGATTTTAATGGCATAGTGCATTATGAATTCTTGCCACAAGGTCAAACAATCAATAAGCAGTACTACCTATAAGTTCAACGTCGTTTGCGTGAAGCAATCCGAAAAAAACGCCCGGATTTGTGGCAAAACAATTCATGGCTTTTGCACCACGATAATGCGCCTGCTCACACTTCATTGCTTGTTCGTGAATTTTTTGGCCAAAAACGAAACTGTAACGATGCCTCAGCCTCCATATTCGCCAGATATGGCTCCATGTGACTTTTTTCTATTTCCAAAAATAAAGAGAACATTAAAAGGCCGTCGTTTTACAAGCATAGATGACATTAAAAGCGAATCGCTGAAAGAGCTAAAAGCTATTACAAAGATCGAGTTTCAAAAGTGTTTCGAGGATTAGAAAAAGCGTTGGCATAAGTGTATTGTATCCGAAGGGGACTACTTTGAAGGAGACAACATTAATGTAGATGAATAAATAAATATTTTTTTCATAAAACGAAAATTCTCGTTATTTTTTGAACACACTTCGTATTTTAGGTGGGAAGATATCTAAGGCTGCTTTTTTCTCATGAGAGAGATAGTCTCATGAGTTGAGCGCTTAGAGATCTGTAGGAAAGGAGTTTAACAGGCTAACCACTGAACAATAAATTCGTCTTAGGAAATAGCTGAGGCTTTATTTCTACAACAGTGCTCGCGCTGCTAAGCAAGGTAGGAAAATGAGTCCTCTTGCCGCAGCGACGAGCGAATTTATACATGCGAAATGGGCTCCTTTCTACGCTTGGTAGCCCCTACAACGCTATTTTTATCATTGACGCAAATTTTGTACATGTTTTATCGCAAAATGGCTCGATCGAATTTGCAGTTCTACGATTTAAAAAATTAAATTTGAAATGATGAATTTTTTAACATAAATTCCATCTCGAGGAAAAATCGTCTTTCAAAGTTATGAGTTATACAATTTAATAATCAAATTACGCCACTTTTACAATAAAATTATGGAAAATTTTTACATGAAAAAATCGCTTGTGGTTAGAAGAATGTTATTCAAATAAAAAATGATTAAGGTTGCTCTCTAATTTTGAATAATAATTAAAAAACAGATTTGTAAATTTCTTTTTTAGCGATTTAAAAATCAGCAAATTAGTGACAATCATAATCATCAATTTTACAGATACGTATGATCGATTTGCTATCTAACAGTGTTATTTTAATTGTTTAAAAAAATTATAAATGGTTTATTTATTGATAACTTAGTGAGTAATTAGTTATCAAAGTGTCAAATTCTTGCTTTTCTGTTTCAATACGTCGAGATTGTAATCGCATGCTCGAAATAACAATATCGTTGTTTATTGCAAAATAACTAACAATATTAACTTGTAGATTAGATTTGACTAACAAATATCGACTTGAGAGTTATAACAACACGAAATTCAGGATCAGCGCATCAAATTTAACTAAGAAATACTTTTGTTCGTTTAAAAAATTTCATAATTGACGATTTTCTGTTGTAAACAATAAATTTTCCCACGGTCGTGACGTCACGCTCCTTATATGGTAATGTTTTCGCAGAGTTGCCCTAACACATTTGCATATACGTGTGAAAAGCGCCTACGCTCAATTACCGCTTTTCTTTAATAGTCTCGTGTGTGACGGGTTGCCGTTTTGCAGAGGAAAATAGGAGACAAATCAGACTGGACGGTTACAGTAATGATGAATCTTCTACCGTAATACACTAATTCTTATGGCAAAAAGTATGAAAATAATATCTATTTACTTAACATTTTATTGAGTATACATAATTGCATAAGAGATTCAGCCCATGCTCATTATCTGTTTAAATGTTTGTACATCATGATACGTATCACTACAGCAAACATGATCTCGATCTAATATAAAACAAAGAATGATTTACGGTAAACGCAATCGAGTAAATCATCGAAAAAATAGGAAAAATGACTTAATATAATTATTAATTTTTTATTCAATGTTCCACCAATTAAAAATTAAAAAAAAAATTTAAGTATATCAAGAAACACAAGGTGAATAAAACAATTTTTTTCCAGCCCGTAAGTATTTTTAGTTTTCTTTTTTTGGAATTTGAATTTGGCGCCAAAAAATCTAAAAAAGTTATGGTTGATTGATCTTCTGAAAACCAAATTTTTACTTTCCAACTGCTTTTGCTAACTATTATAGAATCAGAATGATTAAAAAAATATATTTTGGACCATTTTTGGACCTAGCAATCTAAAATTTTATTCAGAAAAGTTTTAATCGAGCCCTACAAGAATCCTTTAGTAAAACCTTTGGGGGGAGGGGGGGTTGATTATCTCATCTGACTTTACTAATGTGAAACATCATTTCTCAATGTGTCAAATAGTACAGCTTACCTAGCTCATGTAAAACTTATTAGAAAACTATTTTCAAGGGGTAGATATATCACGCGAACGTATCTTTTGCAAAGGAGCGCAATACACACGAACACTTATAAGATCTCATAAATCTTCAAGAAAGATCTTACATAACATATCAATTTAATTCTATTTCTGTTATACAGCAACTTTTAATGCGTCATCATTATTGTAGAAATATACAATTACATACGATTACAAGTTAGATCAAATGAATAGAGGAATACATAAATATTGTAATAAGTAAAAAGAAATACCCATGAGCACAAGTTGATCGACATTCTCCACTTTGCAGTTGAAGACCCTCTTGGCATGAGGTACAGTTAAGTCGGGAGATACAGCTCTTACAGGTATGCAAACAAGGTAGACAAATAGGTCTTGTAGTTGGACTAATTTCCGAAAAGAATCCAGAGTCGCATTGAACAACACAGCGTTGACCTTGCAGTAATAAAGGACTCTGGCAGGATAAACAAAATCTGTCAGTAGGTCCTGTACAGCTCTCACAGCTCGAATGGCATGGACGGCAGTGTCCTGAGTCAAAGAATTGAAAATTCGAGCAGCGAGAGCGCGATATAGGAGCACAGTTTGCTGTTTTCGTAAGACTCCAGCCAGGATAGCAACTGGTACAATCCTGAGAAGTACTGCAGTTTGCACAACCCGGAGGACAAGCTAAACATTCGCGTCGTTTTTTATCTGCAGCATAACCATTTGGACAGAAGCGCCGACACTCGCCCGCAAAGGCAAAAAGACCCGCACGACAGCCTATACATTGATTAGATCCAGTACCATTGCATGTTTCACAGCTGGTGTGGCAGTCCAGACAGTTGTAATCTTGACTTTCAAAAGTATAAATAGGGCAGGCTGCGTGACACTTGTAATTGTAGAGAACTAAGTGGTGTTCGCAAGTAGTACAATGATTTGGTTGCTCCGTACAACTGGCACAGTTCGCCTCACATGGTACACAAGTACTATTTTCCGAACCTTTAATAATAAAACAAATATAATTACTAATTATAGTAAAACATAAATCTTATTACCTTCAAATTCGCTTTTTAAACATACTTTAATGATATTTTAAACATATTACTTACTTTCATAATAACCTTCTGGACATTGCTGAAGACAAACTGCTAAATCTGTAACTCTTAAGTGAGCTGGTGCGCATGATAAACATGAGTCTTGACCAGCACCAGCACAAGTTTCGCAGGATTCATGGCAAGGCCAACAAACGCCTCCTTGATTTGGAAAGCTTCGAGGTGGGCACCGACTTACGCACATACTAGAACATATCAAATCAAAGAAATTTTGAAATAATTAAGTATTAAAAATCAATAAACAATAAATAAACTAATAAATAGTAACACTGTATGTTAAAGACGTAAAGGGAACTTTCTTTATTTAAGTACAATTGTACACTATTTAAAACTTTTGAAAGCAATTTTTTTTCAATGACTTTTGCTCATTTTGTGTGGAAAAATTTAGTCATAATTAGTTTCAACTTTGATTATAAAAGGTTTGAAGTATATAGGATTTGAATTTTCAAACAAAAAGATCAATAGTTGTCCAAGTGATCGCAAAAATTCGAATTGTGTAGATAAAACCATATCGCTTTGACAAACGTGCTGCTAGAAAATTATAGTGACTTAATTTGCATGGATTTCATTTCAAACATGAGAATCAAGGATGAGAATCAATATAACGTCAATACTACAACAATTAAAGAAATAAAAAAAAAGATCGCTACAAGAAGACAAGAAGAGGAGACGAGTTTAAGCATCTTGACAGACAAACCATCAGGACCGAATGTTCTGGATGTGGACGAGTTTAGTGCATCCATGACCTCCTGGCAAGTGACCTCACGAAAATTGAATGGGGAGTGGACGTGAGGAGCGCTTGGGGGACTCGCTAAAAGGGCGTCCAAAAAGTCACGTGTCAATGGAGGAGACGAGTTGACTATGTTGGCAAAGTGGGTGTTAAGTACGGCTGGAGAAAAAAATTGAAACGGGGATGGAAGAGCGCGCCTTGTGACTCCCAAGTTTCGTAACTCTCTCCATCTGGCCTTGCTGGTGGCTGCGGAATACAGTCTGCCTGAAATGCAAGAATTTTTTGCAGAGTCGAGGACATTTGAGACATCGTTGCGTAGTCTTCGATACCCAGCGACGTCACTGCCCGAGCGGGAGGAGGATGCCAGTTTATAGGCAGCGTCAAGCTTTTTCATAAGCGCAAGAATGCTCGGAATCACCCAGGGTTTACGCCTAGAAGACAACCTGATGCACCTAAGAGGGGCTACCTTGTCAAAGGATTTTCTGAGGACTTCAGTGAGAGAGTGCACCAAGTTGTCTAGGGGATGCACGTCGGTTTCGATCGACGGGTCGAAAGAGTGCTGCAATCGTGTTGAAGAAATGTCGACCAGGTTCGAGAGAAGGCCCCTGAGGGTCCCATTTAAGGCCGCTTCGTCCACCCGATTCAAACTGCGGGACCTAATGACTCTGGTGATATGCTTGTTAGTAGCGAAGCGATAGGTGAGCGAGATGAAATCATGACCAGCAATAAAAGGAGTATCAGACTTTCCAAATGTCTGGATAGCATTTAGGTCTTTCACTATGAAGAGGTTAAGAGTAGTATGGGAAGGGGGATTTGTATCAAGACAGTGATGAGTGGGAGCAGTGGATACGAAGTGGAGGTTGTGCAGGTCATCAAGAGATCTCAAAGCTCGAGCATCCGGCAGAGAGCTGGAACCTAGGTCTGAGTTAAAATCACCGGTAATGATGACATGTCCGTACAGAGGGAGGTAAGTGGCCAAGCAGTTGAAAAAGTGTGTGGGAGAGCAAGCAGAGGGACGTCTGTATACCACCGCCATCAAAAGCTTGGTGTTGTCGGACTTTATTTCACCTAGGATGAATTCAGGTGTGTTATCGAAAACTGGATCTGAAGTAGCTAGGAAACTGAATTTAAGGTGAGATCTGACGTACAGGCCAACACCGCCACCCTGCTTTCCAATTCGGTCAAGCCTGAAAAAATTGAAATCGGGGAGAGAGAGGTATGAGTCAGAGATATCAGGTGAGAGGAAAGTTTCAGTAATGGCTATGACATCAAAATGTGTAGAAATGGCTTGTGCTTCGAGAAGAGCAAAGTGACAGGGGGAATTTAGTCTGTTTATATTGATGTGGCGACAACGAAGGAAGCAGAGGGCGGGGTATGGTCCCGGGTTAGTTGGCATCATGGACCAGAAACTGGAGGAGATGAAGATGGAATGGCTTGAGATAGCTGGGCCGGAAAGACAGACACTGTCGGGCTGAAACAACCGTCCGTTTTGCTAAATTGCGGAGCCGGGTTTTTTGGGATGGAGGCAGTAGGTCGCGATTTGACCACCTGGGGCACGAAGTTAAGGTTGAGTGGAGCATGTCTGCGAGTGCCGATCGGAGTGGCAGCCACTGCCATAGCACTAGAGCGCAGAGCGGCCTGGGCAGGAGGCTGACCGGGAGGCAAAGGCGTGCAGGTGTCAAGGTCACTCTCCGACGTGATTGGGATCGGGGTGGAACGTGTATTCTCCCGCATATGGACGACCATACCCGAGACGAAAGGGTGCGCGAAACTCAACTCACGACTGCGCGCGAGCGCCTTTACAAAGAGATTGTGGATCGGCTGCGGTAACAGCTGGCGGATGAAGACGGGGTTTCCGTGATCGCACTTGAAAATGTCCCTTACCGTCTTCCCAGCGAGCCTGCCCGAGCGCTCCAGTATGACATCACGCACCACCGTTGAGTCGATACGCACGACGAAAGTGAACGTAGTATCGGTCGGATTTGGACGAGAACGAATGGCAGTTCATCTTCTGGTGGCCACTATGCGACCACCAGCGTTTGGGCAGCCAATCGCCTCAAAAAGCATCCCGGCGGCATCCTCCAGTGAACCCTGGAACCCCTGCGGTAGGCCTAGAATGAGGAGCTCGGAACGATCCTTGAGACCCACCACGGACTTGAGGCTCTTCACCTCGTCGGCAACACGATTGACTTTGGTCAAAATGGAAGTCTGGGTGGCTCTGATCTCGTTCCGAAATTCAGTGAATTCATTATTCACGAAGCCAGAAAACCATGCTGGTGGTTTGTCGCCAGTGGTAGATGCCATGCTATCAAGCAAGTGGGTTTGGTCCGTGCTGGAGGAAGAAACAGTGGGAAGGGCGGCCGATTGGTCAGCACCACAGAAGTCGCTCCGGGATTCCACTCTCGACGTCTTCGATGGAAAAAGCTCGTAAGGTGATGCCAGTCTCTTACGGCCTGAGATTTCGATAAAAGGCAAAGTACCAGCAGAAGCAAAGTTAATTTGAGTGGAAGGAGGGGATTCCAAAAAAACGCCACAGGACTGATGAGAGTTGGCCAAAAACGAAGACTGAAAAGAGCAGGCACGACAGGGAAAGGTCGCAGGGTCAGGGTTTGGGGTTATATGGAAACAGTGTCGATGGAAAGATCTATCACAGGACTCGCACTGCAGGATATTAGCATCCAGATAACTCAGCGCTTCACCACACTCGGCGCATGAAGACAAGACCATTTGATAAAAATGAAAGGTTTGAAAATTTAAAAACTAGTTAAGACAAAAAATAAAAATTCATAAAATGTGTCAAAAAGTTTCCCATATCTCCTCCCCGGATCTCAAAACTTCGCAAGAACTGTAACAAGTGAGATAATTTAAAGGACCGATTGGCACGACTAATTGAACATAGTTTGAATTTCGCGCGAAAATTTGAGTCACGGACCAGTCATAAACGGTAGTTGTGAAAAGTCTGGATTTAAGAGATTTGAAAATTGGCGTCTCAGTGGCACCAATTCAGTTAGTTAAGGATCAAAAATTGGCGGGAGATACAGGAGTAAAATGATGCCATTTACAAGAGACGGTAAGAGAATTCGCAAATTAACCTAGAGATGATTGAAACGCAAAAATAAATAAGTAACTTATCCGCAAAAATGAAATGAGAAAAAATGATTGGTGAAGCGAACGCAGAATAATTACATTGCAAAATTCATGAAAAAGTAAGAAAGTAAACGCGATTTGACACAGTCGATAGAATAAAATTAAAATTAAGATTAAAAATAAAATTGTCTAGCGTGTAGATAGCGCTAGATGAAAATACAACAGTATAAACTAAGTAAAACAAAATAAGATAAAGTAAAATAAATATAAATTAAAATAAGCTTAAAATTAAAATAGCCATCGCGATGACTAAGCGCAAGAACAAATTAAGTTAAAAGTAGTGATGCGGCGAAGAAATAGCACCGGCTATGAGGAGTCTCTCCGAGAAGATTCAAATATGTGGATAACGGTAAAAATAGTTGACACTGGTACTTAGCAGCAAAAGTGTTGGAAGTGTTGCATTCGGTGAGATGTGTGATGTGTAGTGTGTAGAGTGTAGCGGTCCTGGTGTGGAGGCTGTGTTGTTGTTTGTGTTGTTTGCAGAAGTGTATAGATCAAAACTCGTTAAAATTGGAGATTTGATGAAGGTTATGTTGTAACCAGGCAGGTGGTTTATTCATCCACTGGCCAAAAAATTGACTAAAAGCCAAGAATTTTTAGCAGGAAGCGCAGTGACCAGCTGGACGAACTCGCCTGCAAAAAAATACCGCTCGAGGAAGTGGCAAAATTGAGAAAATGTATATTAAGGAAGAGAGCCTCAAAGACCAGTGTGTCGTTACTCACTGAGAGAGAGAGAGAGAGAGAGAGAGAGAGAGAGAGAGATAACCTGACCTTTATTTTTTCCTCGATGGTCTTCTTGAGGCGAGAGTGACAACGGTCGAGCAGATCGATCGCCGGGTTTCTCGTTATTGACATTGCTGTCTATGTAGGTGGTGCGCGCGATGACGAGCGGCCAGAGCATGGAAAATGGCCAAACCTCTTCTTTTCGCAGGAAAACCGACAAGATGATTGGAAACGCGAGCTAATTTTCTGATCGCGTATCGCCCACCTGCCTATACCCACATCTCCCCCCCTCTCTCTCTCTCCTTCTTCAGCTGTAGTGTCTCCTCTCGTGTTTTGACTGCAGCGTTTTCTCTCGCTCTCCTTAGGCTATCTCGGTTAGGCCTGGCGATTTATGGCGGCTGAAAAAGAGGTACAGTAGTAGGCGCATAAAAAAAGGTGCACCCAATACTGACAACTAAATCTGGTTGAAGGCAAAGGGAAGAGGCAGAAAAACCGAAGAGAAGTAGGCTACTGCCTACTCTCGTCACAAATTCATACCAATACACAATTACCTAAGAGTTATAGCTTACCAAAAATTCACCAATC